GCCCCAGGGCCCCCCCCTGTGGAACTGTTGAGAATGCCGTTGGCTGAGGAGCCACAGGTGCTGCTGCTGGAGGAGGGAGAAGCCCTGAAGGAGCATTTCAGGCCCAGGAAGAACTGCTCATTTCTCTGCCCCGCTTCTCCCTTTGCTTCCCCAGCAGAGTCGTTTCCGGCATCTCTGTTCTCTCGTTCTGGGAGGTGGCTTTCTGCCTCTCCCACCCCACAAACCGGCAGGCTGCTCTCAGCATGGCCCTCGGATATCTTGTCCTCACCGCCTTCCTGGGGCAACTGCTGGGTAAGTCCTGGCTTTCTACAAACGCACACTTCTTCTCCCCCCCAGGAAACCCTTATCAGGATCAGGCAGAGAACTACTCTGGCCTTATGGGGTGAAGCTGGGAAATGTCGCCTGGCCCTTGTGGTTTTGCAGGCGTGCTCTCAAGACACTCTCCCTGCTCGAGAGTGGAGAGAGACCTGAGAGCCCTTCTCCGGCTTTGCTCTGCCCTGTGATCCATTTCCCTCTGCCTCTCTCTTCCCATCCCCCTGGGGTCACCACAGGAGATCTCAGCTGCCCCTGCACTCCCACATTTCTCCCTTCCCAATGCAAATTAGCAGATCTTGTCAAAGCTGCCCCAGGCACCTTAAAGCTCTCATGGCACCATTCTGCCTCCTGGCTGGCACGTACCTGCCGTGGCTTCCAGCTTTCTCCTGCTTGGCAACACAGCCAGGGCTCCCTCTTTCCAAGCTCAGCACTGTATCTACTCAGGGAGCCCTTGGAGGTGACAGCGATGAAAAGGCAGGATGAACCTTTTGGCCATAGTTCCATGGATCCCTCAGCCTGCTGGAGGGGTGCTGGTCCCAGCACACCAAGCTCAGGCGTGACACGCTGTTCCCCGGTGCTCTGGGCAGCAGGAGCAGGGAGGGGGAGCAGGGACACAGCACAGCTCTGCTCCGGGTCCACGCTGGGCTGAGGGCTCCGAGCTCCTGCCCAAAATCACTCTCCTCCGGCTGTCCCGCGGCCCCAGGATATCCCTGCAGGACAAGGGGCAGGGAGCCTTCTCCACCAGGGTTTTGCATCCACTCCTGGTTTGCTTCCTTGGAGCCTTTCCCGCAGCAGAGCTGCTGACCTTCACTTTCTTCCAGGCACCGTGGGGCAGACCACAGTCACCCAGCAAGAAGGACAAGTCACCGTGAAGCAGAGAGACACCTTCCAAACAGCCTGCGCATACCAGACCTCCAGCTTTTATGCCCTGCTTTGGTACCAGTGGAGGACAGGCCAAGCTCCCCAGCTGGTCTCCCATCAGGCAGTAGCTGGCCCCAGGCGCGACGGCCGTCTCACCACGCTGCTGAACACCACAGGGAAATACAGCCTCCTGCAGCTGGAGCAAGCCGAGGTCTCTGACAGCGCCTTGTACCTCTGTGCCGTGCAAGACACCCTGGTGCAGGGAGCTTCCTTGGCTGTGCAAGAAGGCAGGGGAGGGAGGGGATGTGTCTGTGCAAGGCTGAGCTTGGGGGAAGGGGCCCTCAGCTCTCCCCTGGAGGCGCTGCTTCCCCTGGGCACCCAGGGATCTGCAGGGCAAGATCCTCTCTGTGAAAGGGGCCGGTGTCAGTGGCTGTGGAGATGGCTGACCCTGACTGGTTGACTCGGATGCTGGTGCTCTGTTTTTCTGCCCTTCCACGGCTGGCACAGTAGGGCAGAGCCTACTGGGAAGCAGGATGCCCTGCTAGCTGATGACTGAGGGCCCCAGAGCACTTTTTCACTGACATTTGTGGGGTTGTTTGCTCTCTTGCAAGACTTTAAAACATTGAACCAGGTTTGAGTCAAGCCATCAGGTTATCTGCCGGTGTTCAGCCAGTCCAAGGGCAAAGGCTGTGCCTGAGGAGCAGAGCAAACCACACGGAACAGCCCCAATTGCCAAAGGCCCAGGCGCTCTCCATGTTTGTAACCGATCAGCAAAGAGGCCAACATGCAAATGCAGCCCTACAAGCCCCTGCGCTCCTTGCAGTCTCCTCAGGGATGCTGGGGGGAACTTGATTGTTCCCAGCACAGGGAGCGGTGATGTGGCGATGAGCTGCCATGGCCAGAGGTGACCGTGTCTGGGACAAGCCAGGCTTGTGACCGGCTGCGACTGCTGCAGCCAGGCCTGAGAAATGAGGCTGTGCCGAGGAGGCTTCCTTCATCCAACACACTGTATTGCATATGGTGTTTTGTTATCCTCAGGCCTGAGGAAACTCTGCTCTCCGTGCTGTAATGTTTCCTGTCCGTTCCAGGCATCAGTTTATGCAGACAGGCTCTTAAATGTTCCCGTAGCACACGACACAAAGGTGCAGCCTTCTTCCTGCCAGGGAGTTAAATGTGCAC